AATGGGGGCTATGGCAGGAGCGGCCTCATGACCGGCTGGGTTCTGCATGGCGATCAATGTACCCTGCTCGCAGCGCCAACTGAAAGCGGAAGCGAGGGGTGGGCTCACAGATTCAGAGGGTACACGATGCCACACAGACACAGACAACGGTTCTTACCCAGCAGTGAAGTTTACTGAACAATAATAAACGATAAATAGCTGGGCATGTATAAACAGTCAGATAACAAGGTATAAATCACACAATAACAGTAAGATTGCCTAACCTAAAACTAGCTCCTGCTAAATATTCCCCCACAGTCCGCGAAGCAGCCTGGCTGCCCCTAAATGTTCCTTCCCGGTCTTTGTCTTTGGGGTGCACCCTTAAGTATTGCGCAATACTATTTGTAATCCACAGGTAATGTGTCCTTCTCTTTACACGAGGCTTCCCTGTATGCAGTTCCAAGCCCAGCGAAGTATGTCTCTAGCAATGTACTGTAATATACAAAATGTCACTGGTATGCACTATGATGCAGCAAGGCTGCGCTTACAGTTCCTTGGGTGCTTTAAGCAAGCTTTCCATGCTTCCTTCTGGATCCACAGGTCTTTCCACGGCCAAAACCACACAGACAGGAAACCCTGGATCATTCACTGCAAAACTGTCCTTAGGTGCTGCAGAAGGGAGCCACACATCACTTCCTGTTCCTCTCAGGACTCCACCTCCTTAGATAATCTGTGATGCATTAATCGAACTTGTTCATACAACCACAAACCTGTAATTACAGTTCAGTAGCACACTTGTGGGGTTCAGATCACTCCCCTAAATTAGCCTTATTCACGTTTTGAGAGGTGAATAAATATAAACTTTCATTACTATACACAGCATTGTATTATTCCATTTCCTTTGCTGCCACCTACTGACTAGTACAGGTAATTAAATACAAATATATTGTAGAACATGGCTTCATACCCTTACATGCCACCCCACTAAAACATTGGCGTCCCGACAGCTTCACCAAATAAACTCATCTGCTGCATAGCGCTGAGGGGGAATACCTGACGTGGAGCGCTCCGACCTGCGTAAGCCTAAGTTTTCTGTACTTGGTGTAGGAATAAGGCCCGGCTCCTCCCGGGGTGGTAGAGCATTCTCAGGGGTAGCCTCCGCTGCCGCCCCATTGGGAGCGGGTGATTCACTAGTTTGTGAAGGAAATGTAGTAATTACACACCATCCTACATCTCTTGGAGGTTTCGAAGGTCGCTGCTGAACATCTCTAGAATTGTCTGTCGTGGGGCAACTCTCTGAGAGACAGGGCCTGAGCATGTTGCGATGTAATCTTCGAATCGGTCCATTAGAGTTTTCCTTTTGCAAGTCGTAGACTGGGCCTTCCGGATACACCTGCCTCTTTACAATATATGGTTGTGCTTCCCAGCGGTCATCCAATTTATCTGTGGGCCGTTTAGCACGCACCAATACTCGGTCACCCGGCGTCAAGGGTGCAGTCTGCACAGGTTGGTGATCCCTAGTGGTTAGTTGTTGCAACTTCTCATTGACCAGCCGATATACAGTTCTCAGTTTGTCCTGGTGCTCCTGCACCCATGAGTCAACTGTCCTAGGGGACTCTTCCGACAGTGGACCCAGATTCATTTCGGCAACTTCCTGTCCTGGGCGACCAAACAGTAGCATATGTGGAGTATAGCCGGTAGTGTTATGAACACGATTATTGTATGCCCATAGTAGTTCAGGCAAATAC